TCTTTATCTTTACTTATTTTATAGTTTTCTTTCTGACAAAAAGGAAAGATTGAGCATGTGTTGTAGACAACAGAGTTGTCAGAAGCTTGCCATATGCATTTGTTGAGTTGTGCCAGATTCTATGACTACAGACTTTTGCTCGTAGTGTATTGTAGTGTATATTTCCTTAAGAACTCTGCTAGTCTCCTTGTGAGCCTACATTAAAATTGGACTTTATCTGTGAAAACTCTGTGCCTCTGTGCTATGAATTATATGTCTATGTTCTTCTAGAAGTGAGATTCTTTGTGTGTGTGTGTGTGTGTGTGTGTGTTTTGTGTCAAGGATATATATGTAAGATACAAGTTTCAACTCTCCATCTCTGCCCACAGACAGAATTTACTCCTGTCCCTTTGATCTGCTAAAATAAATCTCTTATATGTAACAACCCTACATTAAATAAAAATATAAATATTTCAAAGCCTACATATAAAAAATATAAAATATGGCTGAGGAAGTAAAAGACTAAAGTGAAGAAATATGCCATGTTATTGGGTTAAAAAATTGAACTAAGATGCCAGTTTTTTCCACTCACTGACTCACTGTAATCCCAACCAAAATTCCAACAATCTTTTTTTTTTTTGAGATGCAAGCACATTCTAACATTTCAAATAAATTATAAGTACTCAAAATCATTTTAATATTTTTTGTTAGACTTTAGGGATGGCAATGCTCAGGGGTACCTGGCTCTGTATCCAGGAATCACTCTTAGTAGTGGCTCAGGGGATCATATAGGGTGTTGGGGCTCAAACCAGGGTTGGCTGTGTGCAATGCAAGTGCCTTACCTGCTGAACTGCTGCTCCAGCCATCAAAAAAGAATAATAATATTGGAGAAATTATTTTTATTTCAACACTTACTATAATTAAAGTGATTAGAACTGTAATCAAAATAGCATCATGGGCCACACCCAGGGATCGCAGGGGCTATTCCTGATACTGTGCTCATGGATCATGCCTTACAGTACATGGGGGAATATACACAGTGCTGGGAATTTGAACCTGCATGCAAGGCAATGACTTCTAGCTTATAGTGTGTATGCAACCCTAGTTGGTTTTTATTTTTAGTAAGCAAAATCGTTTTTATTAAATTTACTTAGAGAAGTCTGAGAAGAGAAAGAGGAATATGTTCAAGAGAGAATGTGTAATTGATTCTTTTGACAAAGGTGTAAGAGATTTAATAGAGGAAGAACAATCTTTTCAATAAATGACACTGAAACTGTGGGAAGTATATATGAAAAAATTAACTTGATCCATATATTAATCACAAAATGAATTCCAGATGGTTCATACACCTAGGTATAAAACCTAAAACTTGTGAGTTAAACCTCTAACAAGAACACTTGGGAGAAGATATTTGTGACCATAACTCAGGCAAAAGTTTCTTAGGACACTGAACTATAATCTATAAGTGAATGCTTTTTTTTATTTTTAAAATTGTTCTTGGGCCACACCCAGCTATGTGCTGGGTTTACTCCTGGCTCTGCACTCAGGGATCACTCCTATCAGTACTCAGGCTGTGGTCCAAGAGATTGAACCTAGGTCAACTGCTCTCAAGGCAAGTACCTATCCTGCTGTACTATCTCCGCAGCCCTTTGTTTTTATGTATTCCTGTGCTGGATCAAATCCAGGGTCTCACAAATGCTAGGCAAATTACAGCGTCACATCCCCAACCTCAATATAATCCATGAAGGGAAAAAATAAGGAATTCAACTTAGTTAAAATGAGAACTTATTTTTAAAATATGCTCTTAAGAGAATAGAAACTGCTGGGGACAAATTCAGGAGAGGTTTCGGTGCAGTGGATCAGACTAACTGCTGATTCTTGTGGATAGTGAGTATGAATAGCATGAAGAACACCAGAAGTCTTCTATGTTACAGCTCTTTTTTCCATCGGACTGGTACATCTCTACAGGTTGGCTCTTCAATGGAAGCAGCAACAGCAGCAGCAGGTTGCAACATCAGCAACCTCACAGTCTGAGGCAGCAACCCCAACTCCTCTCTATAAAGTGATCTGAATGTATAGGTATTCCATATCTGCATGCTAGTTGGTTGGTTACACCCTATGTAAATGAGGATTTGTACAACTGGCCAATTGGATTGCGTATGTCCTATGCAAATAAGGGTCTGTGGAACCACCAATCAGATCATGTATGCAAAATAAGGTGACAATCAGAGGTCTTGGTTACCATCTGCCACTGTCTCCTCCCTTCCTCCAATTTGAGAGTTGGATGTGGAATGGTCAGTGAGGGGTTAGTGCACATCCTAGTACATTATAATCAGGTTCACTAGATTTGCTCCTTCAACCACTATCTGTTGCCTTCTTTGTAGCTGGAGCTGAAGACACAAAAGTGAACAAATCCCATGCGGCCTGAGTGATAGTACACCGGGTAGGGCGTTTGCCTTGTACGCAGCTGACCAGGGTTGATCTCCGGAATCCCATATAGTCCCCCAAATAATTACCGCCAGGAGTAATTCCTGATTGCAGAGCCAGGTGTAACCCCCTGAGCATCGCAGGTTTGACCTAAAAAGCTAAAAAAAAAAAAAAGTGATCAAATCCCACCCTGCCCATGGAGTTCTCATTCTGGCAAGGAAGCAGACTGGAGCAGATTGACAAACCCTGAAGGTCCTTAAAGGCTTCTTCTCCCAGGGATCTTCAGATGCAAGTCAGGTTTAGGCGGATAGTATCCCCATGCTGCAATTATCTATATCAACCTCTTTGAGCCACCCTGTGCCCGGACTGTGCATTATTTCTGGGAGTGTCTGTGAGGGAGTTTTTGGATGAAACCAGCATTTGAATCAGTGAACTCAGTTGATGGTGCTCCCGACAACCAGTGGGCATCATTCAATTCACAGAACACAAAGCGGAAGGAAAAACTCAACCTTTTTGTTTTCTGCCTGAGTAGTTGAGTTGGAACATGGATCTTCTCCAGACCTTGGACTAGGTAGGATTTACACCATTAGTGTCCCTGGTTCTTCATCTTTGGACTCAGATAAGAACACACTGTTGATTTTTCTGGGCCTCTAGCTTGCCAACAGCAGATCATATGACTTCTCAGCCGCTGTAGTTGAGTGAGCCAATGCTGTCATCAATCAGGAAGCATAATCTAGGCAAGTCAGGGTTCCCACAAGGAAAGCAATGCCAGATAATGAGAAACACTCAAAGCAATAAACTCAACAGGGAGAACTAAGCCCCTCTTCCCAAGGAATTTTCTAGGGGTTTGGTGGTTGGGTTTGGCCACACCCAGCTGTGTTCACAAAGCATTCCTTCCTGTGCTCAGCAATCACTCCTGGAGGTGCTTGGGTACTATATGTACTATTGGGAATTCAAACCAGGGTCAGCTGTGTGCAAGTGCCTTAACCCAGATACTGTCTTAGACAAAAAAGAGGTGCAAAAGGTTTACATCTTAAAATGAACACAGCCTTGAAGAGCAATTTGTTGCTTCTTGCATTTCCACAGGCCATACTGGTCTCCAAGTTGATGTTAATAAGTCAATAGAAGTTAATATAGATATCTAAGTTAATATAGATATCTATAGATATCTATAGGTCTATTCTGTATCTATATGCCTTCACTACCATCTCAATCTCGTATATATTCTTATCTATAATGAGACAACCATCTTTTACCTTATTTCACTGTATGAATGTCGTAGATTTTGTTCCCCCTGCCAAAAGTGAGATGTGATCATGATGTGAAACATTATTCTAGAAGTGACAGACCAACTTTTGGACTGGAAAAAAAATCAAACAAACCAGGAAGCAACTATTATGCGGTGATGACAATGATGCAATAAAATCTTGTTAAGACTGACTGAAACTGGTAACTTTCCCCCCAAAAGCCTCCTGGTTCTCTCACTGGGCAGCATCTGAAATATGGACAATAATTACATAGTATATGTGTGCACATTCCAACACTGTATCTTCAACTATTACTCAAAGAATAAAGTTCCTCATGAAATCTACAATTGTTTCCATTCTGATAATTCCCAAGGAAAATCCAGCTTTACTCTAGTATGTCCTTAGAACGGTTTTTTTTTTTTTTTTTGTGGGAAGAGATGGCATGTCACACCTAGCTCACCACTCCTATGCCTTATGCTCAGTGGACCATATGCATGCCAGGGATGGAACTGGGATCTGCTGAGTGTAAGGCAAGCATCAAGTCCCTGTACTATCCCAGGAATGGTCTGGTTTGAACTCAGCTCATGTCATCTTACCCGTCTATGAAGTAGAGTGGGAGTATAGCCAACCATCCGAACTAATCCAAGCCAATAGTTCAAGTCACATATCAGACCCTTGAAGCCTACAGTAAAATAGACATTTGTATATTCCAACCTGGAGAAGACAACTGGACTACTGCAAAGGCTGACTTCATCTTCTCCAGACCTTCTTCCACTCATCAGCTATCAAAGCAAGTCATGTGATAAGGTACCAGCTAGCCATTTTGCTCAAGGTCCATTCAAAAGGCATCCTGAAGGAAGTGGTGAGGTCCAGCAAGCCAGGACCTTCCATCCAGTTACGTTTGGTAGGAGAGAGGCTATTGCCTTTGATTTCAGAGAAAGAACACTAAACCCCAACCAGACACCTTCACTCAGTGGTGTTGCTGGCACTCACAGTATTGTCCATGGATGTGGCTTACTCAAGGCTTGAGAAACAACTGTTTACCCAGATTTACTTGGCCAAAGTTATCTATCTGTGGCTGCAATTCTGATTTGTATCGTATTGAAAGCTTACTGGAAATATTACACATACATCTCTTAATTCAATGAAAATATTTTTTGGAGGCAGGTGGGATCATAACACATATTTGTTGTATGTCACTTAGGAATTTTTTCCAGCTAGGTTTTTCTTCCTATTAGTAGATGACTTTCAATTAGTGACTTAAGTGAATTTTCTTAATATGGTCTCCTACATGTTACTGGCTATTTGCTCTGTTCCCAGTGATCACTGCATATAGTAATCACATGATCACACTTAATATTCTGATGGTTTTATTAACAAGTATATAATACATATATTGCATACTGTATATAGTATATGAGGACTGTACAGTACAAATTTATGTTCACAGTTTGACATGACAAAATGTCATTACTGAATTCCCATTGGACTACAGAGTAGAAACAGAGAAGGTACGTTAAACATTCACATCTTTAGTAAGAAAGATTACCAAAATGTTTCAGTATTTGCAAGTATACTAATGCATGCTAAAAACCTTTACCCATTCAGTCTTATTAGCTTATAAAATATATTACACTTTATTAAAAATTTCTGCATAGTTTATACAAGTATTAAAGTACTGTAAATGTAATAATCCTGCTATACTTGCAGGCATGGTTTAAGAGATGCTAAGCAGAAAGATTATTTTGACCCTCTAAGACTAAGTACATAACAGCAAAAAACAAAAAAAAAAGTGCTAGTATTTGTAAAACAATATTGTTGTAGCCCTCATTTAATGCATGTAAAAATGGCTTTGTAAATGTATTATTTCTTAAGTGAATTTGCAATCATTTAGAAATTGTTAACCTTGACCAAGAAGAGAATAAAGACAACTCTGAGCCATTTCATGTATGACAGCAGTTCCTTCAAGACTGTATTTCCAAAGCAGATGATTTAAAACCTTAGATCTCTGAGACTGTCGTTAAAACAATCTAGCCAGGCAGAATGTGCAGGTATACAGGATCTGCAATATGGTCTTTCAAATTCCACATTAGTGCAACACTGATAGTGCAGACGGGCGCTTAATAAAATAGAATATACATACATAGATAGTTCCCCTGTAAATCTGTTCCAAGGTCCTCGAAACATCTGAGTATTTAGCATTTCCTTAGTTGAACATCACTATGCTGCTAAGACATTCTCAAAACGAAGTGATTTAGAATGTTAATGCCCATTTATGGTAGAGATTCACATTTAGAACTCTAAGACAGGATGGATTTCAGATTTAATTTTTCTGACTTCTTTCCCAAGATGACACCTGGATCACCATAGAAGAAATTCTCTTAAACAGAATTTGTACAACACTATAACTTCATGTGTATAAAACATTCTTATCGATTCAAAATATTGCAATGAGAAAAATCACCATTGATAGTAACATGGCACATCATTAAAACCACACATTTTAAGGGCATCTTGTATTTGAGGTCTTCCACATTAACAGCTAAAAAGGACTAAGAGACTAAATTTCTCAACTATCATAGTAAATACAAATATATATATATATTTATATGTATAAAGACATTTGGATAAGAGCCAATTGGTAACTAAAGTACACAAACCAGCATGAGAATAGAGAATGGCCTCTGCAGATTTCCTTTCAGAGTTATAATGGATCTTTGTTAATGAACTTCTAACAGAATCTAAGCAATGTCATCTAAGCCACATGATACAGCCTCTGCAGGAATCTGCTTCCTCCTTTGAACAAAAATTTCATATGCCATAGCAGACACATCAAATTTCATGAGAAACCCATTGAGTTTTCTATTAATTGGACTCAAAACTCCAAGCTAACTATTTAAAGATCAACTCTACCCTTTCTTGTCCCCTCCCTCTCCCCCACCTTTTTCACCTTTTCTCTGGGTTGGAAACACATAAACGGGTTAAGCTCTATCAACACAAACATTCCTTGCTTTCCAACTGAATTCTTCAGTGTGTTATGGAAGGACTATTTCAAGAAATAAATGCCCTGGCAGGAATGTGACTAAACATTTATAAGACAGACCAGTACCCACTTTTCCAAGAGCCATTTTTATCCCTCAAGTCATGTTCTAGTTGCAAAAGATGAAGAAAAAATAAAGCCCAATTAGTATGTTTTAATCTTCTATACAAATTTTGCAGTGCTTACAAATCAAACCAAACCAAGTGCCAAGGTAACACATCACTTTGCATGTCTCAGCTACCTTCCCTCTGTTGGTTCAGAGGGCTGGTCACAGGTGAAGTCCCAACAATTCCTTTTATGAGCATGGCGCCATCCAAGTCAGCTCCCCACACGATTTGCAGGCCTCCCAAGTAACTCATGCACCGGTGTTTTTATAAACAATAAAGCAATGTATTCCTCCCAGGTAAGACTGGGTGGGATCCTGATTTGCAGCTGGGATGAATCTTCAGGATTCCACTCTCCTTTCTCCATCTTTTATCGAGGGATGATGAAGGCGCGTTTGGTTCTATGGACCCATGTTTGACCACCGTGGCCCACTTTCTTCAAATCTGACACCAATGGCTTTTAGGCGTGTGGAGTATATCTCACGGGCATTTAGACTATGGTGCTCAAAAGCCTGCTTTTGAAAAACTTCCTCCCAATAACGGTGCTCTCTATTTTCAACCTGAACAGGAGTCATTTTCAGTTTGTTCTTCAGACAGGAAACTTGATAGTGAGGAGATGACAAGCTCCAATAGCAAATGGGGCATTTTGAGCTACGTTAGGAATCCCTGAATTATGTTTTTCCTCTATTTTTTGGAAATCGGTCCCCCCCCACCCCCAATAAAAGTTGGTGTGCTTCAACAACTAGCTATATTTACAGACAGTGTCACTTGGGCCTTCCATTGGACGCATTGACTAAAGCATGGGAAGGTGGTCATGTGTGTGCATGAACACGGATGAGAGCCAATTTGGAACCTTGGAGCTCATGGGGACGAGTGTTTGTCTAAAAGCTGTGTCATCGATATGACAGAATACAACAACCAGAGCTTCGGTTTGCCAAAGAACAAAACAAAAAAACAAAACCCTGTATATAAGTAGTTTAGGTCAAAAAAAAAGGCCATCCATATTGTCACCCCAAAGATTTTTCTTTCTTTTTAACTATTACTGGGTGGGTATTTTTGTGACATCCCTACTATCAATACTTGACCGTCCACGTGAAGGTTACCCTAGGAATGGGAACAGGTGCGTGGATTTGGCTTGGCCGTGACATTCTGCAAAGCTGACCATGCAGACACAAAAGCCCAGGGAATGCACCACACAGTCCCAACGATGCTCCCACAAAAACCCAGGCCTGGGACCAATAGGAACAGAGGCTGATTCCTCCTCTGCTCAAAGCCCCCTTTGCTCTTCCTCCAGGGACAGCCTCTGTCCCTAAAATTGATGGACACAAAGGTCACAAAGCAAGGCTGGGAAAGGGGTGGCCCCACTTCTAACTGTCGCGAGCACAAAACATGATCCCAGGGCTTGGAGGTATGTGTGTCTCTGGCAAGGACTAGCAGGCTGGATACTGTATTTCTAATACATTTACTTTTTGATGTTATTTCAAGGAATACACGGAGAAACTGACAATAGATAATGTGAGCTGACATGTTCCCTTGTTCTCATTACATTAAATGTATCTCTAAGAAGGGTTTGCTTAGCATCCCCGGAAAAAAAGAAAAAAAAAAAGTGTTCACATTCTTTAGGTCTGACCCGTGGTAAGGAGAGGGAGGACGAGAAAAGCTCTACTACTGACCATGTGGAGGTTTGATGATAGAAATTCAGAGATTCAGGCCAGCTGAATCAAAGGAAAATGTACATGTAAAAAATGCGTTCGAGAATGGGAAGGAAGACAGTGAGGGAGCCGGGCACGTGGCAGCCCCGAGAAGGTGGGCGCGGGAGACGACGAGGGGGGTCTTCACACCAGCATGTGGCGCTTCCTGTGCAGGGCAAGGTGGTCTGAGCGAGAGAAGCTACGGTCACAGTCTGGACACTGGAAAGGTTTGATACCAGTGTGTTTCCGGAAATGTCTTGTCAGTTCATCGGACCGAGCAAACTTCCACGTGCAACCTTCCCATGTACACTTGTACGGTTTTTCTCCTGCGACAGAAGGTGAGAAATGGAGAGAGTTGATTTCTTCTGGAGAGCAAACGGCTAGCAGGAAGTAAAGACAGTTAAGGATTTTGAGGCAAAACCTCTTTTGCAGGAGAGATGGTGAGGGAGCCTCAACCTGGAGGTGTCTGGGAGGCCCAAGCCAGGGGCTCCCACATCCTTGGAAACATCTCCCCCCTTCCCCCAAGCTCAGGTTTTTACTGAAAATGTTATTTCCAAGACATTTTCATTCCATCACCCCTCAATAATAGTACATACGCCAAAGCTAGCAAGAGAAAGTGAATTCATTTTTATAAGTCAATAACTCTTGAAACACAGGAAGGCTTTTAAGAGTTCTTAAAAACAGAGTTTTGCATACAAGAGGCCCAGGTTCGAGCCGAGGCACCAGATGATTCCCCGAGCACTGCCAGGTATGATCCCCAAAACAAAAGAACCAGAAAGTTCCAAAGGCATGAAGCCACTGAAACCCACGCCAAGGAGAGCTAGCTAAATTTGCTTTGCCCTCAGTAGCCTGGTTAGAAAGTCTGCAAAGCCCTTGGTCACCCTGATTTGAATAACCTCCGTCTTCAACTCAGTAACTCAGTTGCTTACTTCCATGCAGCGAAAACTAGTAACGTGATGAGGAGTGCAAATAGAAGTCTGTGAGGTTTTCTTACTCTAAGCAGTAGTTGTCTAAAAACAGGAAGCTCTCTGATGAAATATCTATCAGTATGTCAATGTCTGATCTTTGGGTCCACAAACTGCAAGCAGGCTGAGGTATCGGGCTTTTACTCAGGAGCACCCTAACCAGAGCAATTCCTCGCCATTTTTTCAGAAGCCCAGCTCCCACACTCACTCCCAATGGGCACCCAGTAATGGCCAGGTAAGAGCAGAAGAGGGTGGGAGGGACAGGGACGGGTAGTAAGAAGGTGTTTTCCATGGGACAACCATGGCTGTTTCACCTGCTTTAATGCCTAATCAAGGAAAACCAGTCAATGCCCCTTTAACCAACCTTCCTATCCACTGTACTGTGCTAGAGCACAGTACAGTGCATAGGAAGCCTCTCTTGCACAAGGCTGACCCAGGTGCAATCCTTGGCACCCCATACGGTCTCCTGTGCCTGCCAGATGTACCATCCCCACAAACAAGGGTACATAGCCGCTTTTCCAAAAAAAGTCCAATTCCAGTGAGATATTTGGAATCTGTAATCACAGGCTTTGCTGTACTAAATACAAATGCTAAAAAAAGCATTTTTCCCCGGTCTTATTTTTTTCCAAATAGTATTATACTGACCTCAGGTTGCAGGATGAAGACATTTCCCTTAGTGCCCTAGGGTGCTCCTAAGAACAGATTTGGCTTTGGGGCTAGAGAAATAGTACAGCGAGTAGGGCACCTGCCTTGCCCACAGCCAGCCCAGGTTCAATTCCTGTGCCTGCCAGGAATTGATTCCTGAGTGCAGAGCCAAGAGCAACCCCTGAGTGCCACTGGGTCTGACCCCCAAACAAAAACAAAACAAAGACCTTGGCCCTGGCCACTGGGAGCCGCCCTGAAGTAGCTTCTCTCTGCAGCAATATGACCAGCCAGAAGCTACTGGGTCTGTGCAGTCCAGTGTTACCTCAATCCCTCTCTGCCACCTAAACCTGATCAATTCCAACAATTTCCCCCTCTCTGGGTGGTGGTAAGATAGAATGACTCTTAGCCTGCATTCTGAGGTCATCCATCCAGAGCCAGGGTCTCTGCTATGCTAGCTCTCACACCCTCGCGGGCATAATTACAAGTGATTGAGTGGGAGTAGAGATGGGGGAGGACAAACCTCGAATATAACTTATTAGAAAAATACACGAACAACCCCACTTTGTTTTTGAGCCACACCTGACGGTTCTCAGGAGCTACTTCCGGCTCAGCATTCATGGGGATCGCTCCAGATGGTGCTGGGGTGAATGACGTGGTACCAGGGATGGAACCCAGGGCCTCATGCATGCAAAGTGTGTGGTGGGTCCGCTGAGCCCTCTCCTCAGCTGCTTAGCACCATTTCTGGGACAGGAAGCTGGAAGGAGTCGGGAACGTGCCATTACCTGTGTGTGTCCTTCTGTGTGCTTTCAAGTGAGAACTTTTCGTGTACACTTTGTTGCATCCCTCATAGTCGCATCGGTGTATCCTCCGCTTCCTTTGCGTGTCGGGCGATTCCACAGGTAGCGGTCTCTTCCCGGGCTGCACAATGACCGAAGGATGATTCCTAGGGAAGCCAACGGGAAGCAGAGCCTGTTAAATGCCAGGGCACCTCACTGCTCCTCCGTCAACCGAAAGCGTCAAACACACCAGAGAGAACCCAGCAGGAGAAACCAGAGGAAATGAGTGGATCAGTCCATGCTGTGAGAGTCAGTCCATGAGCCAGGAGGGAGCACGGATGTATCAGGAGCCAGGCTCTGGGTTCAGCACTGGGACCTGGGGATGCAAGAAAATGGGGCTCCATTGGGGCTGGAGCGATAGCAGTGTGTAGGGCGTTTGCCTTGCACACGGCCGACCTGGGTTCGATTCCTAGCATCCCCTGAGCACCGCCAGGAGTGATTCCTGAGTGCAGAGCCAGGAGTAACCCCTGTGCATTGCTGGGTGTGACTAAAAAAAAGCCAACAAAAAAATGGGGTCTCTGCTCCTCAAGAAGTTCACACTTGGGGAGACAGACATGGGGATAAGGCAGAGCAGTGAGAAGGGCCTGACCTAAAATAGAGTAGGAGGGAGGACCAGGGCAGTTACTCATCAGTACCCACTGGCCTGGTCCGAGAACGCTGTGATCCTGTGGGGACAATGTGAAATACTATGCACCCTTTTCCTTACCCAAGCGGCTCTACTGTTCTTGGTGAAATGAAAAGGTCAAGCTCCTCACTGTTTTGAAGGGTGTGGCAGGAGGGACTATGCACACTGAGCTGTTCTCAGGGTTTACTTCTGTCTCTGCTCAGGGATCACTCTTGGCAGAGCTCAGGACAGCACATATGTGCTGGTAAGCAAGTTGGGGTTAGCAGGGGACACTGGATCAGCTGTGTGCAAGGCAAGTGATTTATACCCCTGTGCTACTCCTCTGGTCACCTTTTTATTTCTGAGGTGCTGGGAACTGCAACAAGGCTCCCATATGCAAGGCGAGAGGGCCTGCCACGAGCCACCTCCCTGGCCCTAACGGTCAAATCCTTAAATCTCAGCAACCAGTATTTTTGCCCTGACATTCAGCTGGAATCTCCCCCCCTCCCCCACCCTTCTTGCCATGCTGGGTATGTTCCTTGGCCTGCAGACATGGCAGGCATGCGCCAATTCCTACAAAACCTTTCGGTCCTGGGTATCTCTCTCAGCCCTAAATGCTGGCATCACTGTTTGGCAGAATCAAACTGCTGCTGTTCCCATTATTGCTGCTGCAAGAGGAATCCAGCAGAGTGCTAGGAGGCGTCTTGGGGTGCAGGGGTTCCCTCACACTGACCCACAGAGGCAGGCGCCTGGTGGTACCTTGTCCTGCTCGCTCTTTCACCTACATCCACATTCCAGGATCTACACAGTCTTCTGGGGGCAGGGCGGGGAGAAAAGGGAGAGTCAGGCTGGCTTCCTTGGCGAAGTTGGAGACTTTAAAAGAGTCCAGATCTGGGAGCTGGAGCAATAGCACAGCAGGTAGGGCGTTTGCCTTGCATGCGGCCAACACAGGTTTGATTCCCAGCATCCCATGTGGTCCTCAGAGCACTGCCAGGGGTGATTCCTGAGTGCGGAGCCCTGTGCATCGCCAGGTGTGACCCAAAATGCAAAAAATAAAAAAGTCCAAATCTCAAAGATGCTATCTTGTACGAGTGTGGAAGAAAGGAGACTTCCCAGGAAGGAAATTGATGTGGCTGAAGTTTTGAGTGTAAAAAAACTAAATACAACAATGCAGTCCTTGAACTGAAGCTGTTCTCACTGCCCTCCCTCCCACCCCCCAGGCTTAATTTATGTCTCTGAACTGGCTGCAGTTCAGCATGTCTGGGGCCTGGACTTGTTTCCCAGCACACGGGTGTGGGGGGGGGGGGGGGGCTAAGGAATGACTACTGTGAAGACAAAAGATTGTTTTGCTTATGATTTAGGGAACACACTGGTGGTGTTTAGGGCTTACTCCTGACTCTGTGCTCAGGGATCACTCCTGGAGTGCTCGGGGACCATTGGGGTGCTGGGGACTGAGCCCATATCGGTTGCAAGCAAGGCAAATGCCTCCGCCTGTTGTACTGCTCCGACCCCCAAGAGGTTATTTTAAATGATCTGACGCATTTCTTAGCTTAGTATTAGAAAAGAAAGCTGTCAGTTTTAAGAATTACTTCAGCTTTCTATCTTAAGACATAGTAGGGAGATACAGATAAATAAAATCACCAAGTTTTGGTAAAGGAAAAGTGGCTACGAACCCCCGCTTGGGGGAACAGTACACCCAAGGACTTACACACGTGTGTGTAGGTCTAAATACAGATGAGCAGGGAACACAAGAGGCTATGAAGAGGTGCTATAAAACAGTTCTCAGCTTATTTTTAATTTTCAACCTGAATGCCATCGATTGAATGTGCTTCCTTTACATTTCAGAGAACTTCAGGGAAGGTGCACTGGAACGAGCAAGGTTAAATGATGAGGTCTGGCTGATGTGATATTTAACTGAGCCTCTGGGCTCCTGGGAGCAGTCCGATGACCCGGGAAGTCTCTCGAAACGAGCAGACTCACGGGCTGGGATGGTTAAGTGTCTATGCCATTTTCCCCCAGTGGGCCTCTTCTGTTCTGTCCAGGAAGGGGCTCGCCAGGGCTGTTAATTCCCAACACTCTCACTGCCAGGTCCTCTGTCTCTCAGATGGCCTCTCTGTGCCTCAGTTTCCCCTCTGTAAAATGGGGGTGGTCATCTTCTCTCAGGGGTAGCTTGTCAGCGAGTACACAAAGCACTAGAGACCAGGATGGATTCTTCAATGAAGCACGTCCCCCTCCCAGGGCCCAGAGACCCATGAGCACCTTCGGCCCACAGCTGTTCCTCTCAGAGCATCTGGCTCAGCACCAGGCCAACATCTCTTCTTCCACAGAGGGGTCCCCCTGTGGAAAGGTGAACTCCTCTGGAGTGCATGAAGCAGCTCCGGCTTGCAAATGTCAGGGGCTGGGGCAGGCTGCAGGGAGAACTGTTTGTTTGGGATCATTATGATCGAGGCATCAGAACCACCCAGAAGTGTGAAATGTATCTGGCGGTGGTTTGGAGTCCCTAATCCCCCTCTGAGATAAGACAAAAATCACACACGCAACTACGTGGGGGAAATTGCATCTTCCAGCTTTGATCCTAGAGTTCTTTCACCTAAATAACAGAAGATTGGACTGGAGAGATAGTACAGAGGTAGGGTGCAAGCCTTAGCACAAGGCCAACCTGAACCCCATATGGTCCCCTGAGCACACCATGTGTGATCCCTGAGTGTAGAACCAGGGTAAGCCCTAAGCACCACTGGATAGGACCCCAAAACAAATCAAACCAACAAAAATTTAACAGAAGAGTTTGGATCAACATAGGAGTATTCTGAAAAATAATTCTAGGGGCACAGGCCTGGTATGTGGGATGCCCAGGGTTCCAGAGCTGGCAAAACTCACACACTCCCCACACCCCCCAGTAAAACAGACAAACACACAGTGACATACAAAAGGATATTAAAGCTGTGTCTTAAAGCCTATCTCTGGAAAGGGAGGGTTTTCTGAAAGCAAATATTATCAAGGCTGCCTCATCACAAGGGGACTGGGCGCTTGAAACTGGGTTTCAAGTGATTCTTTCCTGGCGAGCTGGTTTCCTATGTGGGCCGCTACTGGGCGAGCTCCCAGACATGACTTAATTACATCTGTGAGAGCATGACTTGGAAGAGCAACAAACTAACTGTGGCTCATTTTGTTCAATTTTTTGAGAGGCAGGCTACATTTTTTAAGTCGGCATTAAAATAAGCTGATTAATCATGAAAGCCGCAGAGCTCGGGAAAATTAAAATAACCTAATGAAAGGAAAGTGGAAAAAATAAGAGTGCTGACTTTAAATATCTTTCTCCAGTCATATTTTATGCTGGATTTCATGGCCATCGAGATTCGGGAATATCTGGATCTATATGCCCCTGTGTGGGTTAACTTGACTTTATTTTGGTTTTGTGGGGATGTTTTGGGATCACACCTGGCGGTGCTCAGGGATCACTTCTGAGCATGCTTGGAGAATCACACAGGGTACTAGGATTTGAACTTGGATTGGGCTGTTTGTGAGGCAAATGCCTTAACTCCTGTAGTATCTCTCTAGCTCCTAACTCTTTTTTTACCACATTGGCTGGTCAACTTAAGTCACAGTACGTAGTACATAGTACATAGTACATAGTACATAGTACATATGATCCGGTCAGGGACACTGCCACCAACACACACACACACACACACACACACACACACACACACACACAGAATTCAGACTATCAGATGTATCCATCTTGATTCATTTTCCTGGCTTTTCCTTTTGCCTTAGAGCACGAACAGATGCAGTAGGTCAACCACAGGCAAGAAGGCAAAACAAGGACCCCCTGGAAGCTGGAGTTCTTGCCCAGCCCCCGAGGCTATTAACAGGATGATTACAGTCAAATTATCTAATTATCTAATCATCTCAGCAGTTTTCCATTTGCTCTAACTCCCACATGCTTTTTTTTTGGGGGGGGAGAGGAGAATAATTCCTCTGATAATACTTGGAAAGATTTTTGGCCTAGGGTGAGGGTGGCTAGTGACTATGGAAGATAATAATGTAAAACAATTTGGGGGACATTCTCTTCTGGAGGATGCACCTGTGTGATATTTGTATACTTGTTTTCTCCCTGGTCTAGTGTACAAAACCCTCCCCACCTCCCCCCAATTTATTCTGTTTGGTACAACAGCCAAGTAATACATGAACTCATTAATAATCTCTACCTACTTGGATAGAATGTGGATGCAGTTAGACTATATCTAAAATTACAGAAAACAGTTTCTCTTACACTAAAGGATTCATTGGGATGTCAGGAAGAGGGAGTGGAGAAAATAAAAGAAAGGTGGGCAGAATGTTGAAAGGTAGGATAAAAGATGGAATCGAAGAAGCTGATGGAAGGAACCTTAATGAGACAATAGTTGTTGCCTTTGTACTAGAAAAGAGGGGACAAATTCAATGCTAAAAGCACCAGAACCAAAGACAAACACAACATGAAAAATCACCATAAAAAAAAAAAATTAAACTAGAAGCAATGGAGGTAGCAAGATTCACTAATCAGCCCAAGTCCATACATTAGGCGAGAGCAGAGTTGGAATCCAAAGGTCAACTCAGCTGCCACCAACATGGTCACCAGTATTATTGGTACAAGTCAAAGTTTATCTCTGACAGCAAATCCCATAAATGGCATTATTTAACCTATATGTGGTACATTACGCTAGGGCTAAAGCCCTGTTACTCGGATGCCAATCAATACAGTATCCAGTACTTCTGGATGATAGTTCGAAGGCAGAATTTTTTGGTGTGTTTTGCTTTGGAGCCACACAAGGGGCTACCTTCAGTGCCAGGGATACCCCACTGCACTGTCTCTCCTGCCCCAAATACTACTCTGTTAAGTGGTGAAGGAGAAGATATGTCCATGGGAGAAGTTCTCATTATAATACGACTTCAACTGGAATATCTGGAAGACCAAACTCGAGTTATAGTGGAATTGAGATTAGGGGCAAACTATGGATATATAGCCTGGAAGGAAGGAAAAAAAATTACAGTATGTGATAAGGTGGAAGAAACAGCAACTGAATTCACCCCAAACTTGATGCAACTGCAGTCAGGCAAGAGATTGTTAAGGCAACGGGATGCTCTGCTTTTGTGGTGAAATGCCGTCTTGCCCAGCGGCTGCCACAAGCTACAAGGTGATCTTGGCGATTTGCATGTTGGACGTCTATGCATCTGCCCTGTCCCAAGATACCCAGCCGTATGAATACCAGGAGCCCCCTAAGTACTTACTCTTGCAACAACGCTCGTGGAGGTGAAACTGAATCCATTAGAGGGGGTGACATATCTTCAGGATAGTAGTCTGTCCTCTGTGGTTCGAGTCCAGGTTCTATTTTAATTTTTTTCTGTAATATGGGCTTCTCATATGATTCAATGACAGGTACTAAAATTTAAAAAAAAGGGAAAGAAAGAAAAAGTTTATTCTATGTCCAACTGACCAATTTCAGTCTATAAATAAACACAGATTCTATGTAGCCTTTGGTTAAATTACAGCAGAAGAACACCTTTAGGGTGCTCTCACTTTTCCCGAATACTACTTTTCCCAGCATGCAGAGAACAAAGCATCTAGATTTTTTTAAGACATTAGAACCAGACTTGATTATTTCTGGTTTTTGGTTATCTTATTTTAGCCCCGCAGTCTTCTGCTTAGAATCAGTCAGCAAACAAGACAACTTAACAGTAGCTGTGAGCACCAAGATAAAAAACAGACAAACAAAAAAAACAACCAATGGGTTAAATGCCTTTTATTTAATATACGTAAAACTGCAATGGAGACATTAAAAGTCTTTGGAAGCTGAAAATTAGGACGGAAAGAAAGCAGGAAGACAGTTGGATTCCTGGCAGGTCTTCCAGTATCAAAATTAAAAAAAAAAAAAGGAATGATTTTTTGATGAATACAGTATTTTGGTTTTGGTTTTTGGGTTTGGGGGAGGAGAGGAGGGTCCACCCAGCAGTGCTCAGAGCTTATTCCTGGCTGTGTGCTCAGGGATCACTACTGGTGGGGCTCAGGGAACCAGGTGCAAGGTAAGCACTTTCACGCCTTTCACTCTCTGTCCTCTCCTTTTTTAAATACAGGATGGAGGCTCTCAGGGCTGCAGCAGATGCTTTGTAAACACAAGACCTGATTCATTCCTCAGCCTGCCGGTTCCAAGCTTACCAGGAGGGACTCCAAACTGCTAACTGAGCTGGGAGTAGCTTGGGTGAGGCTCAAAAACCAAAGAAGCAGAGAAAACAATTAGTGTGGTGTGGGCACCTCCCAAGCTGTGCTCAGGGTCCCTGGGATCACTCCTAATCGGGCCTGCTGGTTCAATGCCCTGAGACCCTCACTCCTAATCGGGCTGGCTGGTTCAATGCCCTGGGGCCCTCACACCCAATCGGGCTGGCTGGTTCAATGCCCTGGGACCCTCACACCCAATCGGGCCGGCTGGTTCAATGCCCTGGGACCCTCACTCCCAATAGGGCCGGCTGGTTCAATGCCCTGGGACCCTCACTCCTAATTGGGATGGCTGGTTCAATGTCCGGGCCCCAGGACCTGAATCTACTTGACTCTACAGTGCGGCAGGCCCCCTGGGGCACCCCAGCAGTGCCCTGGGTTGGGATTCTCCCTGTGCTATCTTCCTGGCCCTTTCGTCCTTCCTTCTTGAGAAGAACCCCATCAGCATCTCATATGGTCCCCTGAACACTGCCCGGAGTAATGCCTGAGTGCAGAACCAGGAGTAACCCCTCAGCATCACCAGGTGTGATGTGACCCATAAAGATAAAAAAAAAAAAAAAGGAAAGAAAAAGAGGCACCTCCCTCCCGGCTTTATTTCCTCTCCCCCCACCCTCCCAGACCCCCAGAAAGGAGAGACGCATGCTCTCACCTTGCATGCTGCTGTTGGAATTCTCCATCTCCTCCGACAAGGAGACCATGAGCGGCTGCTGGAGGTGGCTGGTGTACATGAAGGGGACAGGCTGGACCACCACCGGCTGGATGACCGGCAGGATCCCCGGGCTCCGGATTCCATGCCGCGAGAGTGCCGCGGCCATCACCGGAGGCATGGACAGCGGCACCCCAAAGGGTTGCACTCCGGGGGGTGGGGGCGAGTACTTTTTCATGGGGGGGCTGGAGGAGGGCATGCTCAGTCCCGGCGAGGCTCTCCGGTGGGACGTCTGGAACTTGAGCGAAGACGGTGAGCTGCCGGTTGACGGGGGCGAGCTCCGCTTGTTCACTGTCAGGTCCACCGGCTCCAGCTGCATGCCGTGCGCCAGGCCCTCTGGCGTTTGGAAGAACTTGTCGGACAGCGGGGTGGAGTAAATGACCCCATACTTGTTGGGCTTCATGGACTCCATGTAATTTGATGGATAGGACTAGAAAAAGAGAAACAGAAAAGATACAGGTGAAGGGCCCAGTTAATGCATCTGCTTCTAACCTGAATTTTAAGATGAAAATGTCTTAACTTTTCAGTGACGTGGGTTGCTGAGAGCAATTTGGAGAAAGGTCCTTATGGATGGAGCTGGTCTAATAAAACACAAAGATGAAGGAGATGGTGGCACCCACACAGGCATGTGGACAACTTCACTGAATTCTAAGCGGAAAGATTCTCAGGGGGCAAGGCGAGGGGTGAGGCAGCACCCGACAGCACCGTGAGCAGGTTCTAAAACAAGGCTCAGTATGGTCCAGACGCCAGCCTGGGGACCCTGCTGCAGGCCGGGACAGCTAATGCAGTTGCTTTCCTGGTGGGACTGCTTCTCTTTTCAAACTTTCAGGCTCGGGGCTGGAGTGATAGTACAAGCGGGTAGGGCATTTGCCTTGCACGCAGCCAACCTGGGTTCGATTCCCAGCATCCCATATGGTCCCCTGAGCACTGCCAGGAGTAATTCCTGAGTGCATGAGCCAGGAGTAATCCCTGTGCAACAATGGGTGTGACCCAAAAAGCAGAAACAAAAAAAACTTTCAGGCTCTTGATTCAGCAGTGGGGCATGTACATCTAGACGATCTGCCATGTTTGATAGAGAAAAACAGCACATAGTGGTGGCCATTTACGTGAGCTTCCATGGCTGAATGGTCCCGGCCTAGAGGACCAGCAGTCCTGGCTGGCAAGGTCACACACCCCAGCAAACCTGAAAAGCAGGTCGGTGTGTTTCATGACACACCCACGAGCTGCCCACCCTGGAAATGACAGGCCCTTGGCTACAGCTGGTCCGCTGTCTGATTCATCCCGGGACTGAAGCTGCAGAAGATGACCCAGTCCCCAAATAGGTCTGGGGTGCACCCAAGCTGAGGCCCAGGTCTCCCCCAAATCTTTTCTCCCCACCCCCAACTTCAGTTTTTGGGCCATATGCAGCAGTACTCAGGACTTACTCCTGGCTTTGTACTCAGGGATGGCACCTAATGTTGCTTGGGGGATGATATGGAATGTCAAAATCAAAACCAGGCCAGCAGCGTGCAAGGCAGACGCTCTACCCACTGTGCTATATTCCTCCAGTCCCTTCCCCCAAATCTAAAGAAGTGACCAGAATTATCTTCAAATACCTTTCTCTGGAGCTGGCAGAGCAATTAAGACGACTGACCTGCAGCACACTTCACCTGAAACCACCAGTAGTGACCCCTGAGCAGAGCCAGGAGCAAGTCCTGAACACCCTAGGTATGACACCCCCGCATAGCCCCCACTTCCCTGTATATCCTGCGGGGCAGGGGGACCTTTCTCAGAAAATCAGGATAAATGAACTCGCTGCAACGGCATTCTGGTATTGCCCTCAGCTTTGGAATTCACCTAGGAGTACTTCTACCCTAACTCAAAACAGTAACAAAACCTTTGATGCAGAATGTTTAAAAACAAAAACGAACCAAAAAAAAAAAATCTCAACCTAGGAAATTTTTTTTAAAAAATTGTAGGCCTTTTTAGGGAAACTGAACGCTTTCTTGATAACATGTCAAGTCCGCAGGCAGAAAATTACTTGGATTTGAATGCTTTGCAGTGAAAGGGACAAGCAGCACTGTGCCTTGCTTCTAGCTCTGCATTTATGATGCTGTGGCAATACTGACTCACAGTCTAACCCAGGGATCCCACCCAGGGGGCCTGAAGTACAGAAGTAGCTCAAGCTCACTTACTACTCATTCCAGAGCCTACACCCCCAACCCCAGCAGTAACGGGGGAAGCAGGGGTTTGGACAGGGATTCCCACTGAGGCCCAACCTCTGCGCTCCGGGTCCACATGGGGTGAGTGTCCATGGGGCTCTAGGCATTGGCAGAACCTCCGAAGCTATCTTTAAAACCCTGGAAATCTGCCATGTCTGGATAGTGACACGGGGCACATGAGGTGGTAGCCTTATTCAAATTAAATAATAAAAATGACTAACAGTACGATTCTCAGGGGCCGTCATGGGGGGTGGGTGAGCACTGAAGAGAGCTCAATGGGTAGGGCACTTGCCTTGCATGCAGCCAACCAGGGTTCAATCCCTGGTAGCCCATATGGTCATCTGAGCCCCACCAGAAGTGATCCCTGAGTGCAGAGCCGGGAGTAAATCTTGAGCACTGCCAAGGGTAACCCCAAACCAAAATAAAAAAATAAGAGTTTAAGTAATCAAGTATGTGGATGAAAGGGAGAGCGTTTTCCCAGTTCTGAAGTTTCACATGCTATAGAATAGTCCTCTAATTATCTATTTTTTTTCTTTTGGGGGGTCACACCTGGCAAGGCTCAGGGGTTACTCCTGGCTCTGCACTCAGGAATTACTCCTGGTGGTGCTCGGGGGACCATATGGGATGCTGAGGATCTATCCCAGGTAGACCTCGTGCAAAGCAAATGCCCTATCTACTGTGCTATCGCTCCAGCCCCTAATCCTCTAATTCTCCAATGAGGATTTCCACTGTCTTTACTGGGAAACTATATGGGTCATTATCTAGGTGTGTCCCCTGTGTGGAGACTGTGTACAGCATCCTTCCATGGAGCCACTTGTGAACATGGGGAAAAGAGCGAGTCCCGGGACAAGCCACCCCAAGCAATCCCCACCCCCCACCCCCCAGGCAGAGTTCTGAGGGCAGGAGGGCGGGTGCACGTACGCCTGCCACTGGCCAAGGCCCAGAGCATGTCCCTCTGTGCAGACATGCTCCCAAAGCACGCTTCCCAACTGGCTCATCAAACTGTGGAACAACTCTGGGAGAACAGGGCATGTCTGTCAGGCTGTGAGATGGAAATTTTCACCACGCCAACAGACAAAAACAAAACTGGAGAGATAGTACCAAGGCTCATGCCTTTCTTTCATGCCACTGACCTCTGATGGATGCCAAGTACAGAACATGGTCCCAAGCCCACTCAGGAGTGACCCTGGGACAGAGAGCCAGGAATAAGCCCTGACTAATGACAGGTGTGACCACCCCCCTCTAACAAAAACAAAAAGATAAAGAAAAAGGGGGGGGACAGGGGGAGAAACGGGAATTTGCCTTCAAAAATAACCTTCTGGGAGGATGAGTAGGGAAAAATAACTTTATTACAATGGCCGGAGAAATACTACAGTACCTAAGGGGCTCACAGTACTTAAGGTTGCAGATATCTAACCTGGGTTCAATCAAACACCACCAGATGTGGCCCGGAAGGTTTTTTTTTTTTAAAGAATTAAATTTGCTTCTTGAATCAAATTCTTTCATTTTCACCCTTCTTTGTAAGAGCATCGATAAAACACACACCTTTGGGTGTCATTTTATAGGCACTATCTCACATTTTACAATCTCCGATTTTGCAAATTAAAAAAAAAAATGACATCCTAGAAAACCCCTAAAAGCCCAGGAGGCGCAGAACACAGCAAGTGATTTCTACCACTGCTGCCCGGGCAGGGTGCGGCCTCTGCAGCAACTCCTGCCTGGGAACAACCCCCAGCCTTGGGAGAGCCTTGTCATCTGCCTGAAAGCACGCAGGTCGGCAAAAGAGTGTGAACGCCTGTCTTTTGATGAGAAAGAAAGAGCATTTTCTCCCTCACTTTCTCTAAGCTGCAGAAAAAAACCATGGTGCTGCAGCTTGGTGGCACTACACATATGCCTTGCAGGAGACGAGGCGCTGGGCTCGAACCCTGGCACAATCAAGAAAAAAGGGTTTGAAAGAACAGATAAGTCACTGTAAAATAATTTTATTCCTATGTGGCATGAAAAAAAAAATCTTTGCAAATGTCCTATGTTGCCTTCATGTTTAGAACGCTGACTTAAATAAGAAAGGGAGAAATGAGTAATAAATCAAGCTTAATACATACCAACAACGAGGGCAGGACAGATGAAATCTGAAGATTCAAGAGTGGAACAAAAGCTTTTAATGTTGTTCTATAAAACATATTCCTCTCCAAATATTTCCACCTTGCTAACTAGGAGTTTACTGAACGAAAGGGGAGGAAAATCCTTTAATGGAAGACCGTCACTAATTTTGGGTGAAAAGATCTAACTCAATTCTGGAAGCATCAGAATAAATTTTAAAATCACAATAAGGGGCTGGAGTGATAGCACAGCGGATTGCGTTTGCCTTGCATGCAGTTGACCAGGGTTCGATTCCCAGCATCCCATATGGTCCCCCGAGCACTGCCAGGAGTAATTCCTGAGTGCATGAGCCAGGAGTAACCCCAGTGCATCGCCGGGTGTGATCCCCCCACAAAAAAAAAATCAGAACAAAAAAGACTACTTAGTGCAAAAAATACTTCCATATATTTTAACTGCATGTACCTATACAACTTACAGCACTGAAAGGAAAATATTACTTGAATGTCTTGTGTGTTCTGGGGACATGCCTGACTGTGCTCAGGGGTCACTGCCAGGGGTCCTCAGAGTGAAACCAGGTCTCCTGTAGGCAAGAGTGCCCACTGAACACTCTCCCTGGCCCCAAAACTCATTTTATTTCCTTTCATTATTATTATTTTTTGTTCAGTGAAGTGCATTTCTTTGCACTTAATTATATCATACTAAGTTAGCAATGTGGCTCTTCATTTGTGCTTGAAATTAGGCTCTTGAGCCCTATTTTCACGCTTGATTAAAAGCATTAGAAGTATACCGCGTAATAAAATGCATCATGGATGGTTCTGCATCACTTATACAATTAATCATATCTTCCGCTCCTAAAAGCCTATTCATATTTCAAGGGTATAATTAATGAGGAAATTTGATACCTTAATCTACCTCCAACATGGGGGAAAAGGGGTGATGACTATGACAACAGCATGAATACGATGAGAACATCAAATGAGTCTTTTGATTAATAAAAGTCTTATTATGGCTCAGTTCTCATCATCTTAAGACACTCAAGTTACCCAGTGATCACGCAAGAATGTAAATGTTATTTCCTACAAGCCTCTGAGACTTAACTTTTCATGGTAGGGGGGAAATAATTCACTGGCTTCTCCAGGAGCATCCAAGGCAACTTGGGTCCATGGGCCTCACAGAGGATCCCTCTAGGTCCAGCAAAAATATTTTGGGCAGGAGCCTCTGGTAGCCAATGCAGAAGATGCATCTCCTTTTGCATGTGTGTCATTAATAACTTTTGGATACATAACTCAGGCCAAGCTTCTCTCCCCGGGATTTTCCAAGCCCACGAAGACAAAGGCCAAGACAGTCGGCAAACTGGCTGGTGTCTTCCTCTTTCCCACAGTTTCTCCCCCACACCCTGAAGTCCAAACCTTCCTGGGTCCCATCACCATGGAATCAACTGTGCTACCTACCTGAACTCAGGCCTCAAAGCATCCCCCAGGGTCAGAGGGCAGGCTGAGAAGACAATGAGAAGACTCTCCTCAGCCAGAAACCCTTCAAGGAAGACAGAATTCCACCCTCGCTGTCAAGTTCTTTCCTAGTTTGTCCTCAGTCGTCTCTCAGACACAGCTCCAAAGGGCTGCTACCACTGGTTTCCAGCAGATCCTTTTATTATTTCATTCTTAGCATAAATATGGGGACTGGGGGCACACCCAGTGTGCTCAGAGCTTCCTCCTAGCTCTGGACTCAGGGATCACTCCTGGTGGTGCTCATGTGACCTGATGTAGTGCTAGGGGTGACACCGGGGTTGGTCATATGCAAGACCGGTGCTTTACACCCACCTGTACTATCTCGATTGCTCCGGCCTCTTCCTGCTATATTTAGACTATCAAGATTTCACAAGTCAAAGGACTGAGTAGTTCTTATTTTCCTGGTTTTATTTTTTCCTTGGGCTGTAGCGGCAGCACAGCGGTAGGCATTTGCCTTGCGCGTGGCCCGGCCTGGCCGAGCCAGGTTCGATTCCTCCACCCCTCTCGGAGAGCCCGGCAAGTTACCGAGAGTATCTCACCCACACGGCAAAGCCTGGCAAGCTCCCCGTGACGTATTCGATATGCCAAACACAGTAACAACAAAGTCTCCAGTGGAGACGTTACTGGGCCCGCTCGAGCAAACTGATGAACAAAGGGAGGACAGTGCTACAGTGCTACAGTTTTTTCCTTGGGGCTTGGGAGAAGAGGGGGTTGAGCCTAGGGCCTGCCACATATGAGGCATGCAAATTCCATTGAGCCACACACATCCTTGGCCCCCAGGTTTCTGCTTTATTAGCAGCTTTGCAGTGGAGACACACAATACTCCAGGAGAGACACTAGAATAGCTTCTCTCCAGAATTAAAAATAAACAACCTGAGGCCGGAGAAATAGTATAGCAGGCAGGGCACTCGCCTTGTATACACCCTACCCAGGTCCAATCTCTAACATTTCAGATGGTCCACCCAGGCACTGCCAGGAGTGATTCCTGAGCAGAGACAGGAGTAACCCCTGAGCACCACCGGTGTGCCCCCAAATCAAACAATAAACCTGCACCATTTATTTTTTTTCCTGGTTTTTGGGTCACATCTGTCGAAAATCAGGGGTTACTTCTGGTTCTGTGTTCAGGAATCACTCCTGGCGGCTACACCAACATTTCTAAAAAAAAAAAAACCCACATCTGGCATGGTGATGGGGTGTGAAAGGCATCTCTAAGGCATCACGTCCCTGATGTGGACGTCTTGCCCGAGACGTTCGCTTCGCAACCAGAACAAACATCAGGCACAGGTTTCTAACCCTCCCTCCCCTGCCATATCTCTAGATGCATGTTAATTAAAATGATGATGATAATAATAATAATAATAAAACCAACCCAGTCTGGCCAAACACGTTGGTGACAAAACTAATAAACTTAAGAGCTGGAGCTAAAAAAATGGAGGCACTTCTGTAAACTGGTCTCCGTGATGGACAGGTCTGCCCATGGCCCGTGTGGCCAGTCTGGGCTGTGGCTGAGGGAAAGCAGGGATCTCTGGGCTGAGGAAAGCAAGGATCCCCTGAGACAGGTATGCACAGTCCCGAGGTATCCTGGGACTGTCAGGAGCTCCAAGAAAAGCTCCCCCTAGAAGTGCTAAGGGGCACGGACAGGAAGAGGCGTGCAGTGTCGGGAAACTTACCACCGTGACGGGGTCCATGGCCTCTTGCTTGACGGGCACCGGGTCAAACATGAGCATTCTTTTAGTTGAGCTTTTCTAGGGTGTTCTGGGTTTGCGCCTAGAAAACAAAACCGAGTGACATCTAAATTCCAGCGCACCTTTCCATTTGAACAAGTGAAAAGAAGAACACACAATATTCCTTACCCCTCTCTCCTCTCCCTGGTCCCTGAAAATGGCGGCAATTTGTGCCCCTTACCTACAGAAGAGGTCAGCTTGGGTTCATTCAAGCCAGATACCATGGTCCTAACCAGACGAGCCCCAACATGCATTGCTACCTCAAACACAGACACACCCAGCCGCCGTTTCTGGGACCGTCTATACGGTCCCTTCTGAGATGTGAAGTTTGCAGGAGCTTGCTATACAACCCAACAGAAGTGTTCATTATCTATGACTTCTCCTTCCTGTATATTTGTTCTGAAGAGTCAGGAAAAGACCAGCGAAAAGAAATACCCAGAAGCAACCACTGCTGTATTTTATTCTTCCAAACTTTTTCCAGATGGAATCCCAGCAGCTAAGTGTTTGAGTGGCCACAAAGGCTCACATATGCCTTGTATCACCAAAGGCAGCACCTCTGAGCACCAAACTGCATCTGATGTTTTACTGAGTCACTGCTTCTTTCCCCAGCCATCCTGGTTCCTTCTCATCAGATTCTGAGGGCCACTGTGTCAATGGATTGTTCACTGTATCACCCCTTGTAGGGCATTTCTGTGGCTTCGAAATTCTCACTCTTGGGGCCAAAGCAGGTAGGGCCTTTGCCTTGCACGCAACTGACCCCAGTTTGATCCCTGGCATCCCATATGGTTCCCCCAATCACCACCAGGCATAATTCTTGAGTGCTGAGCCAGGAGTAACCCCTGACCATTGCCGGGTGTGACCCAAAAAGCCAAAATAAATAAATTCTCACTTTTACACATAGAGCCAATCTTTAACAGTTCTACTGTCCCGCACAGCTTTTGTCTGATGAGTTTTTTGAAGGGACGTTATTGGGTGAGAACATACTGTGTTGTAAAGCATGATGTAACATCCAGCAAAGACACTCTATTTACTTCCATCAATAAAGAAGAACCTATTTCCTAACCCTTCTATTAGCAACGAGCATTGCACAGAGCCAGGAGAAAGGCCTGAGCACTGTTTGGTGTGGCCCCAAAGCCAAAACAGAAAATTAAAGGAAGGAAAAGAAAGAAAAGTACTTGGGACTCTCTGTTGGCATCAACTTGCCCAATTATCTTCATTCTGAACTGATACATTTTTTGATACACCTTCCCATCTTCATTTCCATTACTTTAGGGGGTGGGGGTGTCTTCGGCCAACACCCAGTGATACTTGAGGGCTACTTACTCCAGCTCTGTGCTTGGGGACCAAACCATCTCAGCTACATGAAACCCAGGCACCTTAACCTCTGTTCTTGCTCTCCTGTCCTACTATTTACATTTCTTCTTCAGAACAATGCCTATCCTGGTCTTAAACCACCAACACTCACACACATTCCATTCACTGCTTTTTACTTTTTATATAGCAGACTTATCTGTGTGTACACATTCCAATTTCTCATTAGGCGATCTTCAGACTCACGGAAAGGCAACCTTTCTTTATCCTGGTCCTGGTCCTGTTTCTCTTCTCTAGTTCGCCCCCATTTTCCTTTCAGTTCCTTCTGTGGATCACCCTCACTCTCTCCCAATGCCCATCTTCATCAAAGCTTGGGCTTCCTCCCGGGACCCAGCCGAGGGTCACTGCTAGGATCCAGAAACGCAGTCCGGACCCTTCTCAGCTATTTCAGCCCCCACATTAGGTTCCCTCTTGTCCAAAAGGAGTGCCCAGCTCAACCGTTTGGAGAAAGGCAAGGTCCTGGCAGATCACATGGGCTGGGCGGGAAGGAGGACAAACTCCTGATGGAGTGCGACCCGGAAGAGCTGCCCAGGGTGCTGCTTCTCCGTCACCAACTGCGCGGATCCCACCGTGGTGACAGCCAGCCCGGGGCCCGACTTGTGCCAGATGTTAACACGCAATGACCCGAGTGCTACCACGGCGTGCTTGCACTTCCACTGTTCGATGGGAGAAAGCATGTCCTGGGTGTCATGACAACACGTGAACACTACCACGAACTCCACAGAAGGTCCCGACTTCCAATGTTCTATGCCCCTCCATGACAGGGCGTATTATCATCTGGGAACAGCACCAGGCTGCTCCAACCAACGGTTATCACCACTGCCCCCCGCCTCTGCCCACACCCCCACCCTCGATATCCCAGCAAGAACAAACCCCAACAGCCAGTGAAAAATGGATGATTTCATAAGGAAGGATGAAAACCTCTTTTGTATCTTGGATCTATTATTAACCAGTTCCCAGCCCAGCAGCTGTGCAGGACGACCCGGGGCTCTGGACGGCTGCCTGAGTCCGATCTCAGGAACAAAGGAGGTGAGATCTTTGAGGTCCGATAATTTAGCTTTCATCTCCCTGGCTCCCTCAAGCCCGTTACCTGGAGCTGGTCCTTAGCAGAAGACCCTCGCCACTAGCAGGTCTCCCGCGGGAACCAACCTGACGTCAAAGGCAAGCACTCGCAAGAGGGCAGGTGTCTTGCCAACCTCCACTTCCTGTGCGAGATACAGATGACATCTCCCTCCCTGGCCTGTTTCCTACAGCCTTTTGTACATAGTTGTAGGAAAATCAAGTAGGCCTTAAACCCAAACGTTTACCCTTGAATCAGTCTTATCAATGAGCATATCCTCTGTATCCACAGACACCCACACAGGTTAGGGCTAGGCATGTCATTCTCCACAGGGATCATGGTCCTTCCTTCTGGAGCCTTCTCTTGGCTCAGATATCCCCCCCACCCCCGCCCCACGGCTTAACCCTTTCAACCTCCCCCTGTGCCGTTGACAAACCAGTAAGGGCAGCCCCAAGGAATGACCATCGGTCGTAGGCTCTTTGGCCTACCATTTCATGGGCAACTTTTTCTAATGCCCATGGCAAGACTGAATTCAGAAATGAAACACAGGGTTAAGACGTGATCAAAATCACCTTCCTACTGTCCTCTTAATGTCTTTTATCTAAATTTAAGGAAGTGAATGCCTTGCAAAACGTGTAATCCCTGGGGTAGGATGGGGGGGAGGGAAGGGGATTGATATAAAGGAGCCAAAACCCGATTTATTTTTACTAAAATATTGTAAAATCCTAGTGTTACTGGGCTGGAGCAATAGCACAGCAGAAGGGCGTTTGCCTTGCACGCAGTCGGCCCGGCAGAGCCGGGTTCGGTTCCTCCGCCCCTCTCGTAGAGCCCGACAAGCTACCGAGAGTGTCTCGCCTGCACGGCAAAGCCTGGCAAGCTCCCCGTGACGTATTTGATATGCCAGGCACAGTAACAATTGTCACAATGGAGACGTTACTGGGCCCGCTTGAGCAAATCGATGAACAATGGGAGGACCGTGCTAATAATAATAAACCCAGTGTTACTATGAACAGAATCAAACTCATGGCCCATTCGAATGCATTTCTAACAGCATGACACGCGCAAACTGGGAACTTCTCAAATGATTGATTATACTTTCAGTGCTAGTCACAGGATATGGAACGAGAGATGCAGAAGGGCATGCAGAGAAAACAGCACCTCCCAGCTGTTAACAAAGCTTCCTGGGACACACGCAACAGGGTGCACATCTGTGAGCTAATATTTAAGCGATCCGATTTATAATGAAAACTTCAAAACAAGATAGAAAAGCCCACACTAGAAAATCAAATTTAGGAAGAGAATCAAACACATATAAGACATGATCAGGGCTCTGCTCACGAGGCTGCAGAAAACTGAGCTCCACACTCAAGTGCCTGATGGGTCTGAGTTTGCCATCGGCACTTGGCTGCCTTGGGGTTTGGGTAGAAATCAGATGAGTGCAGCATTTCCAATGTGTCTTCCACAGAGCTGGGAAGTAAACACTGGAAAAATCAGGGTCTCTAAACTTAGTGGCTTTTGTTATGCACACTCAGCTCAGGGCTCTGGGGATAGTACCATCATTTAAAAAGAATGCTCAAGAAATTACGAATGCTGCAGAAAACTGATTGCACAACACTGCCAGCAATCTTAAGCGCCACCAGTAGGTGGAGCCCTTACACAGGTATTAGAGCCTTGGCTAATGCCGCGTCTGCCCTCGCCAGGGTCCTCAGACCTGTCAGTGGGTTTTAACTACCGTGGGGAATTCTGTTAATCATTTTATGTGGGTATCGCAGGGATGAGGTGGCCTTAAACATGATGCTACTCTTCCTTTCAACCACTTTCCAATCACGAACAGATTCACATGTACATTGCACATTCCCTACCCCCCCCCCCCCCCAAAAGGCATGTAAGCAACTTGGGAAACAAAATCTGTTTTAGAAAACAGGGGCAACACAGGTCTTAAAATATCTCCCGCGTTAACGAGGTGCCTCAAAGCAAAAATATAAGAACATTATCATTGCCAGAATAATTTTCCATGGATGGAGCAAATGTTCTTCCTCTCCCCTGCCCGAACGCGCTGTCTGGCTGGTCAGTACCATGGAGCTTTCCTCCAAAAGGAAGCAGGTTTCCCTTCAACCTCTCACCACTTAAACTTCTGACTTCTCGAGTGTCAGATTCTTGCCAAAAAGCACAACCGCGTGATCACGTATTAAAAAGCTTGGTGAATCAGCTACAACAGTCTTCCCGCCCTCCCCCCATCATACACAGTCCTCCTGGCCTGCCTGACAATTGCTTTATGGGGGTACAAACGAGCTGCGAGCTTAGAAACACACAGTCCCAGAGGTTAGGTTACCGAACCTCCTTTGAAAGTAGCTTGTCCCGAAGCCAGAGCCATGTTTTATTACAAGAAACCACCTTCTAAAGCGGGGCCCTTCTTGTAAAAGCCCAAGCGAGAAGAGAATGTGGGCAGAGAACCGGGTATCTGAAACTATTTCCTGGGTCTGCAGCTGCGGGGATCTGCCTCTGCCCTGCTCTCTCCACTCATCCCCCTCAGAATCCCCTCTCCATAGACTCCTTTCCGCAGTGCCTCCAAGGAATCCTGCATTCATCCTCCGCCAAACTCCGCCTGACCC